TCTCCATTCAACAGACATTTATGGAGGTGCTTGTCATATCCTAGGAAAGGTACCTGGCACTAGGGATACAAATATAATTAATTTCTAGGTTTTGCCTTCAAGCCCACAACCTTGTACCCAAATCATTCATTCAATTACTAATACTCAACATGTGTTTCATGAGTGCCAGCTCTGTGCCCAGAGTTGTTGCAGACGCGGGGATGCAGTGCTGGGAAACAGACATGGGGTTTGCCTTTGTGGAGCTTATATTCAGGGGATAGATCTAAGAACAAGTGTAGCAGGTAAGGGCTGTGCTCTCCAAAGTGGGTTGATGGCTACAGGAGGAGCAGAAAATTATTTATGAGAGATTCAGTAAGAAAATATTTCAATTTTTATTTTTAGTAATCTCATCTTTATTTATATTTTTGTGTTTATTTGGTAATGTACCTAATCTGCACAGTGGTACTTGTTTGCCATTTATACATAAATAAATATTTGAATTTATTTCATAAATTCATACTGATAGATGGTATAAACAAAGACATTTGCAAACCCCAGGATGAAAGCATGGATTTAGAGTTAGATAGACTTAGGAGTTTGAAGTCCATTTCCATCACTCACTATGTGTGTGTCCTTGGGCAAGCTGGGGCTCCACATCCTTTGTAAGTACTGTTATAAGGGCTGACTGCAGTAATGTTAGTAAAGTGCTTATATTGTGTCTGTTTATATCAAGTCCTCAAAAAATGATGGCTAATATTACTATTGTTATTATTCATATCATAAATATTAAAATACAGGCATCTTCAAAGTGATATAGAAAAATTTGAGAAGGGCTGGTTAAGCTGTGATCCTAATGCCATGAGAATGTTATAATAAATTATTGCTGGGAATTAGGTTGGTACTACTTTTTATGCACTGTGTACCAAAATCCTTAAAATATTTATTTATGTTAACCCAGTTGTTTCCCTCCCAGAAATTTATCCTAAGGAAACAATCAGAATTCTAATAAATTTATAATAGTGACAGATAGGAAAAAATAACTAAATGTCCAAATATAGGAGAATAGTCAGGTTAAACTGCAAATTTATGATGGATTATTGTACAGCTTTTAATATTTTATTTTATTTTTGAGGTTTTTTATTTATTTATTTGACAGAGAAACAGAGAGCACAAGTAGGCAGAGAGGCAGGCAGAGAGAGAGGGGAAGCGGGCTCCCAGCTGTGCAGAGAGCCCGATGCGGGTCTCCATCCCAGGACCCTGAGGCCATGATCTGAGCCAAAGGCAGAGGCTTAACCCACTGAGCCACCCAGGTGCCCCAGCTTTTAATATTTTAAAGAATGTTTGGGGAAACATTAATATCTACTGAAGAAGATAAGGTATAAAATTAGAGTTATAGCATGATTGCAATGATTCTTTTTTTAAGCACGTAATTTAAAAAAACCACACAATTTAATTAAATGGTATTGGAAAAACTAGACAGCTAGCTATATGCAAAAGAATGAAACTGGACCACATTCTTACAGTATACACAAAAATAAACTCCAAATGGATAAAAGACCTAAATATGAGGCTTGAACCCATGAAACTCCTAGAAGAAAAATGTAGGTAGTAATCTCTTGGACATTGGCTTCAGCTACATATTTATGGACATGTCTCTGCAGGCAAGAGAACCAAAAGCAAGAATCAACCATTGGGACTACACCAAATTAAGCTAACAGTGAAGGAAACTAACAAAACAAAAAAGCAAGCTACTGAGTGGGAGAAGATATTTGCAAATGACATATTTGATGAAAGGTTAGTATCTAAAATATATGAAGAACTTAAGCAACTCAACACCCAAAAAACAAATAATCTAATTTAAAAATGGGCAGAAAACACAATAAACATTTCTCCAAAGAAGACATACAGTTGTCCAACAGACACATGAAAAGGTCCTCAGCCTCACTCATCATCAGGGAAATGCAAATCAAAACTACAATAAGATCACATCATACCTGTCAGAACAGCTAAAACAAAAAATACAAGAAACAACAAGTGTTGGCAAGGATGTGGAGAAAAGGAAACTCTCTTGCACTGTTGGTGGGAATGTAAATTGGCACAGCCACTGTGGAAGACAGTATGGAGGTTCCTCCAAAAATTAAAAATAGAACTACCCTATGATCCAGTGATAGTAGTACTTGGCACTTACCCAAAGAATACCAGCACACTAATTCAAAAGGATGTATGTACGCCATGTCTATAGCAGCATTATTTACAGTAGCCAAATCATAGAAGCAGCCCAAGTGTCCATCGACGGATGAATGGATAACGAAGATGTGGTGTACATAGATACAGTGGAATATTATTCAGTCACAAAGAAGACTGAAATCTTGCCATTTGCATGCAATAACACAGATGGAACTAGAGAGTATTATGCTACGTGAAGTAAGTCAGTCAGAGAGAGACAAATACCACATGATCTCACTCATATGTGGAATTCAAGAAACAGAACAAAGGAAAAAAAGACAAACCAAACCCCAACTCTTAACTATAGAGAACAAACTGGCAGTTACCGGAGGGGAGGTGGGTGGGGGGATGGGCGAAATAGGTGACAGGGGTTAAGAGTGTGCTCGCATGATGAGCACTGAGTAATACACAGAAATGTTGAGTCGCTATATTGTACGCCTGAAACTAACAGACCACTGTATGTTAACCCCACTGGGGGGAAAAAAAAAATCTTTCTAATTCAGAATCTCTATTGAAAAAAATACAGTATTCCAAAATACCCTTAGTACTGGTGCTCTGTTAAAAGAAATTGAGTCTTGTTTTCATTGTGTGGGGAGGAGCGGAGTTAGAAAAACTGAGATGCCGAAACATTGGGAGGTTTGCTTCAAGTACTAATATAACTTTAATAGATACATATATACATATGTGTGTGTGTGTGTGTGTGTGTGTGTGAGAGTGTGTATCATCCTGATGTAATTCTAAAAAGCCTACATACATATAACATAATTATATATAATGTGTATATATATAAAATGTGTATACATACAAAATGTGTGTGTGTGTGTGTGTATGATGTATATATAATCCTAACTAATATTCACTGAGTTGGGAACTATTTCCATTCACTCTTTTTGTTTCATTTATTTAAATTAATTAATTAATATATTTACTTATATATATATTATTTATAAATAAAATATATATTTATTTGTGTATTTATTTATTATTTATTTGAGAAAGAGATGGAGAGCATGAGTGACGGGGAGGGGCGGAGGGAGAGAGAGGAGCAGACTCCTGGCTGCGATCCCAGGATGCTGGTATCAGGACCCCAGCCAAAGGCAGATGCTTCACCAGCTGAGCTACCCAGGTGCCCTTCTGTTCACTTTTTACAATTCATCACAAGTGGGTGGGGATTGTTCTTTCCCCTCACCTGGAAATGAGGCAATTAAAGCCTGAAAAGCAAATTCTATTTGCAAATAACAAACAACTGGAAGTAGGTCTGGAAGCAATGATTTGCTCTTCTGTAGGGTACAATTTAAAACATATGTTTAGGTAGGTTTGATGAATGGACGTGCGTAGTGACCCTGCCAGTGTGGGAGGCACTTATTGTGTAGCCCAGGGGTGCAATTCTAACTCCACGCGAATGTTCATGGTTTGTGGTGTCTATTAATACAGGAATTGGTCAAGTATAGTCTATTCGTAAGATGGGAATCGAAAAAGAAAAGAATCAAACTAAATCTACTTAGGGCTACAATATGAATAGATCTTAAGAACATACTGTTTTTAAAATAAATGAGAGCAAAACTAGCATACTATTTATGATTAAGAATATATGTTAAAATAATATATCTTTTATAGGTATAAGTAAAAATGAAAAAATATTTTTAAAGATTTATTTATTTGAGAGAGAGGGAGTGGGGGATCAGGAGGGGCGGAAGGAGAGGGAGAAACAGACACCCTGCTGAGCACAGAGCTCAACGCAGGGCTCTATCCCATGACCCTGGGATCATGACCTGAGCCAAAATCAAGAGTCAGATGCTTAATTGACTGAGCCACCCAGGCACTCCCCCCAAAATATTTTTTTAATGGTCTGAAGGATACTCCCCAAACTTACCTAGTAATTACCTCTGGGATGGAGGCAGAGGGTCAAGATTAGAGATCACAGAGAAAGGAAATTATAAGTCCATTTTTGATATTCCAGTCTTTTAAAGAACAGTGACTCTAATTTAATATTAAGATTAATTTCTTCATTAAGTCAAAGGCCACCGAAAGTGTGCTTAAAGAGTCTGGCTTATTAGGTTCTCAATTTTCACATCCTAATTTTCAGACTTAAGAAACCGAATATTATGTTTGTGCATTCCTTCCTGGCTGCAGAGGCAACAGGAAACCCCAAACTTGAACCTCAGTGTGCAGAAAGAAGGGAGAGGCCGAAAGCAGCATCGCTGAGTTCCCAGCAGTACTTGGAATGCATTTGTTATGCAAGTACAACATTTTCACTACATTTGGGGCAGGAAGTTCATCACAAAAATAAGTGGAATATAAATAATATTATAGCCAGAATAGTAAGGGTCTTCAAGGATTAACATGAGAATTCAGTGATTTCTGATGTTTTCATTAACTGTAAAAAATATCTCCAACCAACAACGGACAAGCGGGAGGGAGAAAGTGACCTACATAGCTCGTGCGTTGCGCTAGAGCCCTGCTTTCTCTTCCAGGGTGGCTGGCCCTTAGCTCAGCCCAAAGAAAACTCAATAAAAACGCCACGGCAAGAAGGAAGCCCTGACGTCCAGCTTACACACTCCTGAGAGCAACAAAGCCTCCAGAGAGGCCTGCTTTGTTTAAAAAAAAAAAAAAAAAAAAAAGATAGCAGGGAAATGTTAGCAATGTATAATCCCTCCAGCTTTCATTTTAGAAAGAAATCAAATCATGTGTCACCTTCCTGCAAGAATCCTTGCAAAAGAGACAAACGAAGCCACAATCAAGTTGTTAGAATTAATGTTTCTCTCTTTTGTGTCCAGGATAGATCGGGTTAACGGCAGATTTCCAACCCTAAACCTCAGCGCCTAGCAACTCTCGTGGCTTATCAAGAAGAGCATAAGGATGTCCGCGGCACGCTCTGTAGGACAGATGAAAGTGAGTAGACTCCCATTTCGGAAGCCCTTCCTTCTGAAACATAGAGTCCCTAATCTCCTTTTTGACGGGAGCTCGTCCTGCGTCCTTGCCAGCACCTGCAGCACCTGTTGCCAGCACCTGCAGCACCTGTTGCCAGCACCTGCAGCACCTGTTCGGTGCAGGCGGGACAAGAGCACAGCAGGAGGCAGCTGGGCAAGGTGAAAGGAGGCATCAGAGCCAAGGAAGAAAATCACCAGGTGGACAGTGTTTGCGCCTTCCTAGCAGTCCTGTCCCTCTTCTCATATTTGCGATTTCAAAGTCTTCCTAACTCATTTTCCTCTAATTTCTGCAGAACCTGACCAATCAAAACCCCATTGACCGCCCTGCTGTCTTTGAGCCATTCTCCATAGCAACTGAGGCTTCTCCCTCACAGCACTTAACACAATAGCAAGTAATAAATTACATGCATAATTAAGTATTTAATGTCTCCTTCCCGCAGAAGGCTGTGATGTTCGCTAAGTCGTCCCTAGCACTACTCAGGACCTTACTGAAAATGCTCAGTGATTATTTGTAGAGTAAATGAATGAATGGAAGGATGGATGACCGTTCTTCTTACCAATACTCCAGTCCTCCCATCTGATTCACCCTACAATCTCACCCCGTTCTCATCTGACAAATTCTGTACCAAATTCCATCAACCCCTGGAGGCTTGTTGGCATCTGCTGAGCCCCCTGCCCCAGCAGTGGGCTGAGTTAGGAAGCCCATAGGCCTGTCCCTCTCCAGTAGCATTCACAAACCAAAGTTGCCTTCCTTTCCACTCTACGGGTGTTCTGAAACATACTCCCCAGTAACTGAAGAGCTTTTACACTATGGCAAGATTTTAAACTAAAAGCAAGTCACCACCTTGCTAACGTTTCCCATAATCTTTGCAGGTTACCAGGGGTCCAGATCTCAGAACATAATTTCTAACCTCCCTCCCAAGTTTCAGATTTATTCCTCATCCAATGTCAAAAAGAGAAAAGGAAGTAAAAGGCCAATAAAGAAATGTTAAAAGAGGGAGAGCTTGGGAGGATGGGAAAGGGTATCACACATGTGCTCTTGGGGCTTTGCACTGGTCCAAGGTAGCATTTTCCTTGGACTTGGCCCTTCCAAGCAGACCCTCCGGGGTCACACAATCCACTAGGGCCACAAGGTAACGCAAACAAGTTGCTTGGTAACACACCTATTCACTACAGGAAACCATGACAAATTTCAAGACCCACGAAACAATGCAATGGCAAGTCCTTGTTCAGTAAAAGCACTTTTATAGCAGGATCAAAGCAAATGGGGTCCGAGAAGACCTCTCTCTGAATTTCTGGCTTTTTAAGGATCATTTTGAAGTGGAGCATAGAATGTGTGAATACACACTCTTTAGCCAGTCCTCGGAATGCCATCTGACACCATTCACTTGGTTAATATCAGAAACATATTTCTGAACCTCTTGTCCGGGTACGAAGATTGCGTTCCTCATCAGCTGGATCCAGCTTCCCACGGAGACCAGTGAAGTATGTCCCGTCGCGTGAGGGTAGAGGGATATCATGTGTCTAACTCCAACTTCCCAAGCCTCCAACTGTCATATATTCTAAACTGATGTAATAATTGTAAGGCGTCTCAACATGAGGCTTGAAAATGGACTTGCCAAAGCTTCATCCAAAAATCAATGTAGGCTGATGCAGTCGCCTCCTGGCTGGTCTCCCTTCCTCCCATCTCCTTTGTACTGATCTAACCTTTTCAGCTCCACAGAGTAGACGTGATGACATGCAGACCCCACCAGGTTCCTCCCCTAGCCGACAAACACTGTCTTCTGTAGACAGGGTGGGTAATAGGCAGACTCCTTAAGTCAGCCGAATCACATTACCCCTGTCTAATATCTAGCCAAACCTTCCGTCACATGGAAAGTGAGTTTGTTTAAGCTTGCCATGTATCTTGAATGGTTTCTTGCCTATGGTGCCTGCTTCCTTCCTTCCCGGCCCCTACTCTAGCTGACCAGTGCTGGGATTCGCTTTTCTGCCGAACTTTCATGGGATATCCAGGCAGAAATTTTCATTCCTATTACCACTCCCGTCTTCATCCATCTTGTTGTATCTATTCTGGTTAATAATTATCTGTGCAATCAATTAAAAAAAGTCACCCACATTATTACCAATCAGAAAGGTTACTGATACAGTTTTGTACATTTCTTTATAGTACTGTTCCTATAGTACTCTTGTGTGCTTTTAAAAAAACTTATTATTGGAAGTGTAGTAGACATACAGTGTTAGAATAATGTCAGGAACACTACCCAGTTATTAGACAATTCTGTACGTTACTCATTGCTCACCACAGCAAATAGTCACCATCTTATCACATGCGAGTTATTAAAATATTATTGACTATATTTCCGATGCTGTACTTTTCATCTCCATGACTTATTTATTTTATAACTGGAAATTTGTACTTCTTAATCCCTTTTACCTATATCCTCCATCCCTCCACCCACCTCCCTTCTGGCAACCATCAGTTTGTTCTCTGTATTTAAGAGATGTTCTGTTTTTGGTTGTTTTCTTACTGGTTTTGTTGTTTGGATTCCACATGTAAGTGAAATCATACGGGTTTTATCTCTGTCTGACTTATTTCACTGAGCATTATGTTGTCACAAATGACAAAAATCTCATTGTTTTTTATGGCTGAGTAATATTGCTTTACACACATGCACACACACACACACACACACACCCCCAATGTCGTCTTTATCCATTCATCTGTTGATGGAAATTTGGGTTGCTTCCGTATCTTAGCTACTGTAAATAATGCTAGTATAAACATAGGGGTGTGTATATCTTCTCAAATTAGTGTTTTCATTTTCTTTGCAAATATTGAACCACCCTTGCATCCAAGGAATAAATCCCTACTTGATTGTAGTGAATGATTTTTTAAAATGTATTGTTGGATTTGGTTTGCTAATATTTTGATGAGGATTTTTGCATTTTTGGTGATCAGAGATGTTGGCCTGTATTTCATGTTCTCTCTCAATCTCTTTTTGGTATTTTTATCTAGTTTTGGTATTAGGATAATGCTGGCCTCAGAGAATGAATATGGAAGTTTCCCTTCCTCTTCTATTTTTTGGAATAGTTTGAGAAGAACAGGTATTAGTTCTTCTTTAAATGTTTTGTAGATGGGCGCCTGGGTGGCTCAGTGGGTTAGGCTGCTGCCTTCGGCTCAGGTCATGGTCTCAGGGTCCTGGGATCGAGTCCCGTGTCGGGCTCTCTGCTCAGCAGGGAGCCTGCTTCCCTCTCTCTCTCTCTCTCTCTGCCTGTCTCTCCATCTACTTGTGATCTCTCCATGCCAAATAAATAAAATCTTTAAAAAAAAATAAATGTTTTGTAGAATTCATCTGTGAAGCCGTCTAATTCTGGACTTTTGTTTGTTGGGAGTTTTAAAATTATTGATGCAATTTCATTGCTGGTTAATTGGTTTGTTCAAATTTCTTATTTGTTTCTGATTCAGTTTGGGAGGTTATATTTTTTTTAAGAATTTATCCATTATAGAAGATGTGGTACACACACACACACACACACACACACACACACAGGAATATTATGCAACCATCAAAAATGAAATTTTAACATTTGCAACGATGTGGATGATCTAGAGGGTATTATGCTAGGTGATATAAATCAATCAGAGAAAGACAGTTATCATATGATCTCACTGATACATGGAATTTGAGAAACAAGACAGAGCTTCATAGGGGAAGAGAGGAAAAAATGAAACAAGATGAAACCAGAGAAGGAGACACACCCTTAGAGACTTTTAATCTCAGGAAACAAACAGAGGGCTGTTGGAGTGGAGGGGTTGGGGGGATGGGGTGGCAGGGTAATGGACATTGAGGGGTTATGTGTTGTGGTAAGCACTGTGTATTGTGTAAGACTGATGAATCACAGACCTGTATCCCTGAAACAAATATATTATATGTTAACAGTGAAAAAAGTCTGCGCTTAAAAAAAATAAAATAAATTTATCTATTTCCTCTAGGTCATCCAATTTATTGGCACATTGTTTTTCATAATATTCTCTTATAATCCTTTGTATTTCTGTGGTGTTAGTTTTTATTTCTTCTCTTTCATTTCTGATTTTGTTTATTTGAGTCCTCTTTTCTTTTTTTAATGAGTCTGGCTAAAGTTTTATCAATTTTGTTAGTTTTTTCAAAGAACTAGCTCCCAGTTTCATTGATCTGTTCTGTTTTATTTTTTTTAAGTTTCTATTTCATTTATTTCTGCTCTAATCTTACTATTTCCTTCCTTCTACTGGTTTTGTTCATTCCTTTTCTAGCTCCGTTAGGTGTAAGGTTAGATTGTTCATTTGAGATTTTTTTCTTATTTGCTTCTTAAGGTAGGCCTGTATTGCTATAAACTACCTTCCTAGAACAGCTTTTACTGCATTCTAAAGGTTTTGGGCTGTTGTGTTTTCATTTTCATTTGTCTTGATGTATTCTTCTATTTCCTCTCTGATTTCTTGATTTCTTGGTTGGCCCATTCGCTGTTTGGTAGCATGTTATTTAACATCCACGTATTTGTGTTCTTTCCAGGTTTTTTCTTGTGGTTGATTTCTAGTTTCATAGCATTGTGACCAGAAAAGATGCATGGCATGACTTCAGTCTTTTTGAATTTGTTGAGACTTGTTTTGTGGTCTAATGTATGATCATATGGAGAATGTTCCACGTGTACTTGAAAAGAATATGTATTCTGCTGTTTTAGGATGGAATGTTCTGAATGTATCTGCTAGATCCATCTGGTCCAATGGGTTATTCAAAACCTCTCTTTCTTTGTTGATTTTCTGTTGGAGTGATCTATCCATTGATGGAAGGGGGTTGTTAAATTCCCCTACTATTATTACATTACTATAGATTACTTCTGTTATATTTGCTGTTAGTTATTTTATGTATTTGGGAGCTCCAATGTTGGATGCATAAATATTTACAATTCATACATCTTTCTATTGGA